TCTGCTTCCCGAGTGCTGGGATTAAAGATGTGCACCACCACCATCCAGCAGGTGTTTTCTTTATAATATGAATAGAAATAAAATTATTTTATTCTTTATGAATAATTTAAAAAGGTTATCTCGTCTGTGTCTAGTGTGTATAGGATTTAGAAAATCTTACTGCCTCACTTAAAATTTTTCTTTATCCTTTTTTTTTTCCAAACTGTCTTACTGATTTTTTTTTTTCATTTCTTATGTATTTATTGCAAATCTACAAATTCAGGCTGGGCGTATAGCTAGGTAGTATAGATTTCCTCAGCATGGACAAGGACCTGAGTTCCATCCCCAGCACACAAGGGGGGAAACAAATCAATAAAGAACTTAAAACAAGGTGTGGTGGCACACCCTGTAATTCAACACGTCATAAGGGTCAGAGTTAGCTACAGAGTCGGTTAGAATCAAAGTGGGTTTTTTTTTACTTTAATTCATTTTTTATTGCACAAATTAATTATACAAATTAGTGGGTTTCCCTATCAAATATTTTTGATGTATTCTTTTCAGATACGTGACATCAGTGACATCATGGTGCAGAAGACTGACCCAGACTAGTCCAAGTCAGGTGCCCGAACATCTGTCAGCTGTTCTCAACGAAAATTGGTATTTATATTTCTTGTAAACTTCATCTGTGAACAAGAGCCAATTAATACTTAAAAAATGAGTATCAAGGCGTGATAGTTTGAATAAGAATGGCCCCCATAGGTTCGTATATTTGAACGCATAGTCACCAGGGAATGGCACTGTTTGAAAGGACTGTGAGGATTAGGAGGTGTGGCCTTGTTGGAGGAAGTGTGTCACTAGGGGACGGGCCTCTGTGTCCGGATCAGGACGTAGCTCTCAGCGACTGCTCCAGTGCCTGCCTGCTGCCGTGCCCCTGGCATGATGGCAGTGGACTAAGCCCCAGTTAAACGCTTTCTTTTTGAGCGTTGCCTTGGTCATGGTGCCTCTTCACAGCAGTAGGACACTGACTAAGACACAAGGGCTCCCAAGGTGGCTCAGTGGGTAAGGGCTTGCTGCTTAGCCTGATGACCTGAGTTCAGTCCTCAGAATCCCATGTCAAGCCAGAATTGTCCTCCGACCATCTATACACACACAGCGAATAAATACGTGTGAAAACAATATTTTTAAGTAGCAAATGGAAAACTTTGAAGCTTTTTGCCCAATGAAACCTTTTGTTTTAAGCATATTTAACTCTTAAAATGTTTTTCATAGTATAAGCTTGAAAAGAGCTTCCTTCTTAAAAAAAAAATTACTTTTTAAACCTGATATACAGAAAACTGCATTGAAAATTTATATCAAAATGAGTGGCTCTTTATGTATGATAAATTAAAAATGCTGTAGAAATTTTAGTATTATTAAAGGAAATATGATACTGAGTAACATAAGCTTTTTTAAAAACTGACTTTTAAATAATTTCTGTTGTATTTAATTCTTGTCTGAAATTAGTTAGCATATTAGAAAGTAAAGCAGGTAATTTAGTTCCTCAGGAGACTCGGCCAGGGCTCCACAGGAGCGTTCCGGGCGACGTCAGACTGACTGGAGAAGGAACTCAGCAACTGAGAGCAACTGGCTGCTCTTTCAAAGGACACAGGTTCCATTCCCAGCACACTCACGGCAGTTCACAGCCCTCTTTAACTCCTGTTCCAGGGGATCTGACATCCTCTTCTGGCCTCCATGGGCACCAGGTACACATGGTGCACAGATTTACATGCAGGCAAAACACACATACGCATAAAATAAAATTCAGAAAAGGATCTTTGGCCTGTGGAGACAGTGAGAAGACAGTTTTCAGGAACAGATAGTACTTGATAGGATATATTATAGGTTTTGGTGAATTAAGATGGCTCCTATAATAAATAAGGACTTTCACATGATTATAAAACTGATCACTAACCACTGCTCAAGTAATAACTGGTTTTGTTTTTATTAAATGCCTTGTTTACATAAAAACTGAAAGAGGGTTACTGTTGACATACTAAGAAATGAAGCTGGAAGCCAGGTAGTAATGGCGCACGCCTTTAATCCCAGCGCTCATGAGGCAGAGGCAAATGGATGTCTGAGTTGGAGGCCAGCCTGGTCTACAGAGTGAGTTCCAGGCCAACCAAGGACAACATACAAAAAAACAAAAGTGAAAGTGCAGTTGGTGACAGCAGCTGTGGGTGACAGCAGTGAGGACCAGCTCTGACCCCCAAGACATCCCCCCTCCCCGTCCTCTGTCTTGTCAGAGTGTAGTTTGAAGGAAGAAATCACACAATAACCAGCTCTCTAAATTGTATTTCAGTTCTTTTTCTACCTTGCCATTGTTAGCTTATTGATTCAACTTCTTAGTAACTTGAATTGTTTTTAGACAGTGTCCTCATTAGTTTTCAGAGGTGATAGTTGTAGTGTTTGTATAGTATTCTGACTCGGTGGGGAAACTAGATAGACCATCCACAGGAGGGGCCCTGCTCGAGTTCTGTGGTCACCTCATCCCTGTTGTCCTCCCGTCCGTCTCCTGTCATATGTCACCCTTTACCTTTCGTAGGTCTGTTGCCTCTGAGCTTGAGAAAATACAGAAATTTAACTGTATCCTTTTAATAAAGAGAATGTATTATCCTACAGAAGTATTCCATTTCAGTCTGGGCCTGATATGATGACTGTACTTTACTGCATGACTGTTAATCCATACATACATGTTACTGAGTTTTGCTCAGTCATCGATATCTGAGATAGTTTCTTGTCATGGAATATTGTGTTATTGTTTGTACTTTTTTGTTTGAGTTGGGTAAAGAACGATGAACTAGGATTAAGATCTCTTTTGGAGACACTTTCTCATATAATTATCTAAATTATAGCTGTTAAAAATGTGTCTGTAACTTTTATTACGAACCCTTTGATTCACCTCAATTTGTTTTCTCTTCATTTTTCTGTAATCTTGCTGTTGTGCGACTTTCCCTGGGGAGATATGATCCAACATTTATTCACCCCGTGTAGATGACCAACAACAGACCAAAGACGCAACTTTGCCCGAGTCCAGCACAGTGAACTAATGAGTTTACTCGGATTACTTACAGGAGTGTGGTTGTAGGGTCTTTACAGAAGCCTGATTGCTCAAAGGGAGCTACCCCCTGAAAGCCCAGGATGACTAGCAGCTCAGGAAAACTGCATCCCTGGAGTTCCCTGCACAACTTACCAGTTGTTTACCTGGTCACAATCACCTCTCCCCAACAGCTGTCCCTGTGTAGACCTCCTTGGCAAGGGACTTGTGAATTGTGTAACTTTTGGGAGCTTCTTGAGCCTTGTAAGATCCATACACTTCCTGGGCAGTGTATATTTTATCTACTTCCGAGTCCTGTGAGGCTTCCTCCTCCCCCAGGAGGAGCTGTTTTGGTTGGGAGGAAATAGTTATACTGTCTTACTCAAATAATAAACTAGTTTTGTAAGAGAAAGCAAATATCCTTTTACTCTAGATTTTTGTTAATTAAAAAATGCACTACATTGTTTATAATCCTATCATCCTACTTTTTCCCTTTTTATTCTCTTAAATGTAGGTTAAGAAGTGTTACTGAGATTTTATTTTCTCTCCTACTAAACCTCCATCCAAACACACATAACTCTCCACTTCCGTACACTGTGACTGGTTTCCTCATCTGTACAGTGTGGACTCCATAAAATCTGAAGTCCCAACGCGATCGTGAATTCAGTAGATAGTTGCAACTGAGAAATATTTTCATACCGAAGCCAGATTTTCTGGAAATCAAATTATATAATGACAAATGTGGGGGGAAGCTCCTTAACTAAGTAATTCAGGGCTCCTGGAAAACAGTGGTGTCCTCCACTTGACTGCTAACAAGAAAAACGAACGGTGTTCTGATGACTGTGCACCAGGCTCTTCGGAAACCTTGCTGGAAGCAACTAATAAAGAGAGCGTATCGGTAGCATTGAAAAGAACTTCTGAAATCCTTCAGGATATTGACTATATCTTGTCAAACTCTAGAAAGTGAAGAATGGAATTATTACAACACTAAATCTTAAGGATGTTTCAAATTCCTAGTACGAAATTGCTAGTAACCCAAGGAACTGTAAATGTTACTTCTGCAGAATGTGCAGAACTGCTTTAACTTTGATTGTATTTTACCTAACTTGTAAATTTTAGTGGGTGTGTCTGTATGTATATATCGGTATATATACATTTTTAAAATAAAGAACTATTTTGAGGTTTTGAACTATTTCATTTTTTACATCGGCTGTATAAGAAAAGTTGTATGTTTCGCCATTTTCAAAATTGTAGTGTTAATTTTCAGTTTTCTTTTTTAATGTGCAGAATTGTACATTTGGCCATTTGCTATTTAATCTCTCCTGGAGAACTAACGTAGCAGATTTTCTTCTTTCTCGTCCCAGTTCTTGTCTCACCACAGACAATGGAAGGTAAGAGAAACACAGATGTTATTCCAAGGAGAGTGACAGCTAAGATTTGACAGAGAAACCTCTCAGCAGCCACAGGCTGCCATGCAAGAGCACGCGAGGGCTGAGGGCAAGCCTGCTGAGGAAGAACAGGAGCACGTTCGCAGAGTGGGCAATGGCCAGCAAAAGGCGGATGGATGCTGGCGAGGCCGTGGGGCTCAGAGCGGGCTCTGATTGGCTGGGTGTGTAGTGAAATGGAGTAGGAAGGTAAGGCTCAATTAGGGAGAGCCTGCTACCACACCCGAAAGAGTTCTCAGTTAAGCTGGTGGCCCCATTCCCCTGGCTGTGAGAGCGATGCTGAGGAAGCAGACATTCAGCTGTCTGGAGGCCACCCCACTGTTGTTACATAAATGTATGGATATGTATATACACATGCATCCCTAAATAAACACAGCCTGCTCAGTCTGAACTTGCATGTGTGCTTCCAGGGCTGACGTGGGTTTGGATAAACAGTTGGTGTGCTCATCCCCAGGGAAGACTTAGTTCTCCTGCTCTCAGCGTCCCTTAATTGCCTGTAATTCTTTATGTAGGGTTGAGACCCCTCAGGCTTTCCAGGAATTTGAAAGAGAGCAAGAAGGTATATAGGAGAGGGCTTGGAGGGAGGAAAGGGAATGATGCATTATCTCAAAAAAAAAAAAAAAAAAAAACATATCCAGGGGGTTTTGAGCCTACTCTACCATTGGCTCGGCTTAAAACCAGGGATCATCCCCATCTCTGTCAGAATTATTAAAAAAACAAACAAACTGCATTTAAAAAAAGAAAACTGATCTAAGCAGTTCTGCTGTGACCTATTGATACAGTCTAGGGGTCTGGATCAGGTTTGTTCTCTCTCTTAAAAGGGAAAATCTGAAGCTCAACAGGGAACAGCAGAGCAATCTCCATCACAGAATCGGCAGTTGAAGAACCGCATTTATGGAGGGTGAGGAAATGCATGCAGCAGACCCTCTGAGGGGAAAAAAAAAAAAAACCCTCTGCAAAGCAGAGAGGGCACACATAGAGCTGAAAATCCAGTCTCTTGAGGGCTGGGGCTGCTGGAGTCCCTGAGGAGTTCCCTTCCCTACTTAGGGTTGTTCAGTTTGGAGACAGATAGGATGCTAGATTGGTCCTAACTGGTGTTTTCCTCATCTGGCTTTGAACTTGAGCCAGTCCATCAGCAGAGGACCTGGCTGGTGGGAGACAGAGGCTGCCAGGAGATTAAGGAAGAAGCTGACCAACTTGGAAATTTGCCAGCCATGGCCCCTTTCCTTATCTGTCTGCCCCCCCCCCGCCAGGGAGTCTAACTCCTAATCTCTGAGGCTCTTGACTTTTAAGGCAGGAAACAAGAACAAAGGGATGGAGTGGCTTAGGAGTGATAACGTCAATTAGTTGAGTGGACAAACACCCTTTTATAGCCACACTCTGGGCTCCTTCACTTTTCTGGTCTCAGTAAAAGTTTCTGTCTGCAGTCCTCCCAACTACTTCACTAAAGTTAGTCTCTCCCAAATCAAATATATCACCCTGTTTATTTCCTTAACAGTATTTATCAGTGTCTGTCCAGTGTAGTTCCTTGTGGTCCAGTAAATGAGCTCCGTGGTTAATCTGTAGCCTAGTACAACAAAAGTATTCAGTATGTGTTGTATGAATGAATGGCTGCCTTCAGCCAGTAGGCTTCCAGAAAGCCTAGACTGTATGGCACATAGACCAACCATACTGCCATAAGGGCCATAGCCCTAATCCTAAAGCAGTACAAATATATTAGTTCAGGTTGACGAATTTTCAGGGTATGTGAGGTGACCCAGGAGTTCACTTGATATTGAAGATTCCAACTGACATGAATATTGCTAGCCTCGTCTTCCATCCTGACTTGTTTTGAGGAAGTGAGAAGAGGTAAAGAACGTCCCTCTTGGTATCTTTGGTCTGTTTCACGCCAGATGTTTCCTTGTGCTAAGAGAGCACCTGCCTCAGCAAGGCAGTAAGTATATATAGTCACAGTTTCAAAGGGAGATTTGAATCCAGTTAGTATTGCTCTTTTGTTTGCAACAGGTTAGTAGTCATGATTGTTCTTGCCAGGACCCTGCTGTCCTAAGACCAGCCTCAGCCGCCACCAGTGTCTAGCAAAGACTTGAGACATCCCCAAGGGGGCGACGGAGCACTGCGGTGTGTCAGACCTGAGCTCATTGCCTCGCCAGCCCTGGGGCATCCCCTGAAGGAAGTTAGAAACTTCTGTCCCTTTGAGACCCAGACCCACTGCGCATCCTGCACCAGGTGAGGTGACTTCTCCGTCCTGGCTTGCCCGCCGTCACTTGGGTGCACCGAGGTGGGTGACTCGACGCCCGCTAAGCCAAGACACCGACGGGACGTTTCCCACTTCTCTCCCGGGCTTTGGAGGCTGGTAGACCTCACGGCACCAACCAGATCCACCTGCGAGCGCCAGGAGCCGCTCCGAGAGGAGCCTGCATCCCGGCGTCCGCAGGGACTCGGAGGACCGGGCCGCTCGGGCCGGCGCCTGCGTCTCTATGGTGCGGCCGAGGGGCGGAGCGCCGCCGGCTCGCCCGCCGACTGCGAAGCGAGCAGGGTATGGCTGAGCTGCGGCGGGCCGGGCGGGGAGGGACGGGGGCAGCGCGCCGCATTCAAAGGGAGGCTGGAGGGACGAAGCCCGGGCGGTCGGGGGTCGGGGCTGCGGGCTGGGAGGGCAGGCTCACTGCGGAGCCAGAGCCGCACACCTACCTCCTCCTCCCGCTCTCGCTCTCCGGGTCCCGGGATGCTGCTCGCTCTTCCCCGCGGGGAGCCGGCGGGCGTCTGGGCAGAAGAGGTCACTGTCTCCCTAACTTGAGTAGCAAGAGCCCTGAGCGCCCCGGAGTTAGCTAATCCTCCAAGTGCTAAGACTTCCTGCCCGCCCCGTTTAACATCCAAAAACTTACTAGATCACACGGACCTCAGAAAAGCAGGACTTGAGGAATTTGCTAGGGTTGGAAACATGTTGAGAGGCATAACTGTGTATTTTATTTGTAGTCGTTTACAAGAGCTCAATATTTGACGTGCGGAGAGAGATCGGGATGGCCTCAGAGTCAGGGTGAACTGAACAAGATTTGTGTTTATTTCCTTTATTAGTCGCCAGCATTAGATTTGGCATCTGCTTTCGGTGTTTTAGCACTTAAGAATTCAAGTGTACTGACTTTTACAGCAACTATAGTTTGGTGAGGAGAACTTATTTGTAAAGCCTAATAAAGGCAGTTTGGAGCAGGCAGGGCATGTTTTTGTTTCGTTGTTTGTTGTGATGATTTTGTTTGGTTGTTTGTTTGTTTGTTTGTTTGTTTTTGAGACATGGTCTCACTGTGTCCTCCGTGTTGGTCTTGGAATCCCTGAACTCAAGTAGTCTTTCTGCTTCAGCCTCCTGAGTGCTGGGACTATAGACCTCTTGGTTTTGTGCTGCTTCTCCCCAAGGTTAGGGGGATGGAGGAACTGAAGAAGAAAATGACCTTGACATTGGGAATGTCTTACTTGTTTGTGTAGAAATGTATGATTGGTAGAAAAAAAAATCCTCATATTGTATAATTTAAAAGACCGGCTAATGTGAGAAATTACGGGAAGGGAGATGACCATGTCGCTTGCTGGGAAGTCCCCATCGTTGGTGACATTTGCTATAAGGAGGATGAAATGAAACAAATTTAGACCATTATAAAAAAAAAAAGTGGCTTCTTGAAGCAGCAGAAAAGTTAGATGATTGGCTCTTATGGTAGAGAAGTCATCCCAAATAACACCTCTATGAATGTTTAGCTTCTCAGCAGAGGACTGGTATTTAGCTTGGTAGGAGAGGGCTGCCAACATTTCTGAGGTCCTGGATTCAATCCCTTTTGGAATACACACCAGTTAACATTAATAAAATGTTGTGTGGTATCAGAAATATAATTTTTAGTATAACAAAAATATTTTCCCCTTTTGCCAGGCAGCGGTGGCGCACACCTTTAATCCCAGCACTCGGGAGGCACAGCCAGGCAAATCTCTGTGAGTTCAAGGCCACCCTGGTCTACAGATCAAGCTCCAGGACAGGCACCAAAACTACACAGAGAAACCCTGTCTCGGAAAAAAAAAAAAAGTCCCTTTTTACGTGGATAATAAGGGTGGAACTTGGGTCTCCAGGCTTGTACAACAAATATATTTATCACTGGGCCATGCTACCAGTCTGTAGATTTTTTTTTTTCAAGACGGAGTCTTACTATGTAACCCTGTAGACCAGCTGGCCTCTAACTCATAGAGATTCACCTGCGTTGGCCTCCCGAGTGCTGGGATTAAAGGCATGTGCCACCAACACACAGCTGAAATGTTTTTCCTTTTTGTCCCAATATGTGTTTGTCTCTTTAAGACAGAGCTCCTAAAATTCAGGATTGTTGCTGAGGTGCCGTAACTTAGCTGTGTTTGGAACTGTACAGCGGTGATCGTTTTCTCTCAGACTCTGTGTTACTCCACAGTAACACTCTTAAAAGTGGAGGAAATGCCATTTCTCATTCTTTTGCAAATAACTTTATTATTGAGGCAGGATCTCTCTATGTAGCCATGGCTAGCCTGGACCTTTCCATGTAGATCAGGCTGGCCTTGAACTCACAAAGATCCACTGGCCTCTACCTCCCACGTGCTGGTATTACAGGCATGCACTACCACACTCATTAAATACCAATAAAGCACACTACACTAGCTTTATCTTACATCTTTGTTGGAATATAATTGACATGAAATTAAATCCAAATACTTAAAGTACACAATTGAACATATTTTGACATATCTATGAAACTATCACAAGGAGCTGAATGTGGGAATCGTCCCAGAGCTTTCTTTGATTTTCAGCCCTCCCTACGTCCTCCATCCAATCAGCCACTGATCTGTTTTTTCTCATTATCAGTTAGGTTGTGTTTTCTGGAATTTTCCTAGACTCATTTCTAAGTGGAAATGTCAAACATACAGAAGAATTGAAATCAGTGTGAGGAACTATAGAGTTTACTTGTCCATACATCTGGCTGCTGCTCTTGCAGGGGACCCAGGTTCAATTCCCAGCACCCATATGGCAGCTCACACATCTGTGACTCCAGTCCCAAGGGAACCCACACCTTCTTCGGACCTCTGCAAGTACTACATGCGGGTGGTGCACATTCACAGTGTGGGCAAATGCCCACACAAGTAGAATAAAAAGTTTAAAAACCAGTTGTGACATAGCATTGAAACATTTGACAGATTGACAGATTATTTCAGTAGCCTGCCCCAGTTAGAGCTCAGCACAGAATTATGCCTGCCTTCTCATATAAGCTAAAGTTTCAGGGTTTGTTGTTATGATTCCAGGCAATAGAGAAAAGGGGTGGTTGTTGGGGAGATGTCAAAGAAGCTCTTAAAAGGGTGAACTGTAGAAATTTAGGGCGTCTTTGCAAACCTTGGACACTGGAGCCAAGGATTTGATATCTTCGTTATTAGCTTTTTGTCTTTGTGTCTGTTTGGGATATTTTTTAAGACAAAGTCTCTGTGTAAACCAAGCTGGCCCAGAACTCACAAGGATCCCCCTGTCCCTGCCTACAGAATGCTGTTTTGTGTCTTGGAACCTGTGGCTTCCAAGAGGACCATTCCACATCAGGTTTGCTTAGGAAAAGGAAGCTGGTGGGCTTAGTTTGGGTGACCCTTATCACTACATTAGAGGCAGGGAACTCAAATTGGACGTCTCTGGAGTTTAGGTACCATGGGGACAAGCAGTTTTCCTGAAGGAAAGAGACATGTGTTTAAAAGAAAAAAATAGATTTAGGTATTTACTTTACTTGTATATGTATGTGCCAAGTGTATGCATATGCACCATGCGCACACGGCTATCCGTAGAGGCCGGAAGAAAGTATCAGATGCCCTAGAGCAAGAGTTACAGGCAGTTGTGAGTAGCCCATTGTGGGTGTTCCAGGTCCTCTGAAAGAGCAGCAAGAGCTGTTACACTCGGCCATCTCTCCAGCCCAGAAAGAAAACTTTTTTTTCAAAAATATAGAAGCAGTTGTTGTGTTTACAGCTACAATGAATGCCCACTGTTATTATCATACACATTCTGACAGAGCTATTTAAATGCCTAGCAGGAATAAATAAAATTCAATGGGCTTTCTGGAATTCTCCTTGGTGCCATATAAACTGTTCTTCCTGTAAAACTGACTTACTGTTTTTGACCATACAGCATATTGCACACTATGTAAGGGATGTTAATTTCCCCACTTCGTTTTTATAATGATGGCTGATGTCTCTCGTGTAAATAGTATGTGGCAGTCTATGACCTTCACTGATCTTTTTCTTTTGGTTTCTATTGTAGGGTACTAAGGATGAAGACAAGAATAGCCAGTTGGCCCCTGATGGCTTTTACTATATGCTGACCCAGTTTATGATGGCCTCCAAAGTTGAAAAGACTCATGCTTTACAACAGTGTTTTAGCACAGAGTCTCTCGTTTCCAGCCTCGGTCTGGGGATCTTTTGCCTAGTAGCTGATAGACTTCTCCGGTTTTCCGTAATTCAACAAAATGATTGGCTTCGTGCCCTCTCAGATAACATAGTACACGGAGTGATTGGCATGTGGTCATGGGCAGTGGTCATTGGAATCAAGAAGAAGGCTGACTTTGGAGAAATTCTTTTAGCTGGATTTTTAGCCTCTGTTATTGATATTGACCATTTTTTTCTCGCTCGATCCCTATCTTTAAAGGTAAGACATCAACGTAGTTATCTGGCTTTAATGTCTTTAGTCTCTCCATGCCGGTCTTCTTAGCCATCATAGGCTAGAGAGAATGTCTTACTTTAAAACAGGAACGCTAATTCATTCAACTTTTTTGAGTAATTAGTTCCCTAAGGATGCACACAGACGCGTAGCTAATCAAATTTGCTGTCACAAAGTCCCACATAGACATAAAGTAAGAACTCTTAACTGTGCTGAGAAGTTCTTGCTGGCTCACAGAGAATGCATTAGCAAACTGGTGCAAACGATCGATCGGGATTCACTCCTGGTGTTCCTGGGTCAGTGATCTTCAGGACCACACTACATTTCTCTTCGTACTCTCTATGTCTCATTGTGCATCTCCTGGGTGTGCCCTCACTGTTATCACTCCTGGGAAACACCCAAAGATTTGCCTGCCGAGTACTGAGATGAAAGGCAAGCGCCACCACCGCCCAGCTTGGCTGCTTTTTATATGCATATGAGTTACAAACATTTCAGAAAAGAAGTATGGGTTCAAAGCAAGGATTTTGCCTTGTGGGCCACTGGCCCGGGAAGTGACCTGGCCCACCTAGTAGGTGCTCAAGAGATCTTTGCCGAGTGGAGGGGAAAGCATCCTTTCTTCCTGCTTGTCACATACAAAGTGCCTCAGGGTTGCCTGACTCGGAAGCTCAGCCGGAAGGAGGGATGGTCGCTGGCTCAGGACAAACTTTAGCTTTTTTTTTTCCTGTAAGCGAAGGTAACACAGGGCAAAATCCTATTCCCTCAGCTTCAGCATAGAGAGGGACAAAAATAATAACTTGAAGTAATCTTTCAATGCCAGTAGTAAATTCCGGAAGTATTCATGGCTGTTATGAAACAGTTATGATACAAATGTCCTCCCCTTTCCCTGTGTTAATGAAGGAATATCTTATTTGTCGTGCATGTACTCTTAGATGTCTCACAAAGCTCCTAATAAAGCACAAATCATAGAATAGGAAGGGATGGAGCGAGGATGAGTTCCAGGGTGAGGTCGGACAGGAGGAAGAGCTATTAATGTCTCTACACTGTAGCTGACAATATCTGTGTCAGAGTAGCTGGTGAAGAGGAATGTATTCTCAACACACACAAAAATGATAGCTGTTGAAGCCGTAGACACTCCACTTACTCTAATTCAACCATCACACTTTATATACACGGAGGGAATGTCACTCTGAACTTCTTAAATAATACTGGCGTATTATTTGTCAATTACAAATTTTAAAATAGGGCTGAAGGGATGGCTCAGTGGTCAAGAGCACTGCATGCTCTTCTCAAGGACCTGGTTTCCAGCCCCGCTGTGGCAGCTCACAACTGCCTGTAACTCCAGCTCCAGGGCATCCAATGTCCTTTTTTTGGCCCCCAGGTCAACTGCATGCTTATACACATACCTACACACAGATACACATAAGTGAAATTTAAAAAAAAGAAAGAAAAATCACGGCTGGGCGGTGGTGGCGCATGCCTTTAATCCCAGCACTCGGGAGGCAGAAGCAGGTGCATCTCTGTGAGTTCGAGGCCAGCCTGGGCTACCAAGTGAGTCCCAGGAAAGGCGCAAAACTACACAGAGAAACCCTGTCTTGAAAAATCAAAAAAAAAAAGAAAGAAAGAAAGAAAAATCTCAGGAAGAAAACAACTTTCAAATATGGCTGATGAGATGGCTCGGCAAGGAAGTGTAAATACACATAAATAAATAGAAGTGTTTTTAGTTTTGATTGTTACTTAAACCCAGTTGTACAAATCCCATGCTTAGGATATAAATTATGTTTGTGACTTTTTAAGCAAATACTGGGAAATTTATAAAATTAATACAATATTCCTTTTTTAAAAAAAATATTTACTTATTTAGTTATTTATTATGTATACAGTGTTCTGTCTGCATGTATGCCTGCACACCTGAAGAGATAATCAGATCTCATTATAGATGGTTATAAGCTGCTATGTGGGCATGGTTATAAGCTGCTATGTGGGAATGGTTATAAGCTGCTATGGGAATTGAACTCAGGACCTTTGGAATAGCAGCCAGTGATTTTAACCTCTGAGCCAACTCTCCAGCCCCAATATCATATTCCTAAGACCTCCATTTTATTGTTGGTGCAAAGGATATGTTGGTCATGCTTTTATTATCTCATATTTTAAGTTAAAAACGTACTTTTACTATAGAGTACCATAGAGAGTGAAAAGAGAAACATTGACCTGCAAACCGTGTGTCCAATGCATCTGCAGTGTTCTGTTTTTCTTGCATTTCCAGTTGACACTGGACATGTTAAAATATTCAGATGCAGCTGTGATATTTTTGCAAGGAAGGAAATGATGCTAGCTGCTGCCTCTCCCCTCAGGCTGCCTTGACTCTCCCAAGAAGACCTTTCCTCCACTGCTCCACGGTGATCCCCGTCGCAGTTGTGAGTGTGAAGCTCGCCATGTACCTCTTCAGGCTCAGAGACTCATGGTGCTTCCTCCCGTGGATGCTATTTATTTCCTGGACTTCGCATCATATCCGAGATGGAATTCGTCACGGCCTGTGGATATGCCCATTTGGAAAAACTTCTCCTTTGCCCTTCTGGCTTTATGTAATAACCACGTTATCCTTACCTCATATGTGCTCGTTCCTTATGTATTTAACAGGGACCAGACAAATGATGTCTTCAAAACATGGGATGCGTATTGATGTCTGAGATGACCGCGGCTGTAAGGAAAGGAATAGCTCAGAGGACGGTCATGAAAGACAGCCAACGTTCAAGTGAAATTTTGTTTTTGTGTTTGAG